CTGCATTGTTTAAATTTGTCCTAATAGACTAAAAGAGAGCTCTCAAAATTTAGTTCTTACTTATTTTCCATTGCAGAAACAACCATTTTATGAATTGGTTACGATTATTTGCAAAATGACTTAGTTTATTATGATTGGCAGCGACATTCCTGTTCCAGTATTTGCTGAAAAACACGTACCTCTAGCAACGAGGTTTTACTTTAGTAGTAGCTGTCTGTTTTTTTCCAATACTTATCAACTGACATATCACTTAAAAGTTATTGTCATTTGTATCGATTAATTTGGAAAAAAATGTCTTTTTTCTAATAAGAATGTACAACTTTTATTAATTTGCCATTAATGTATGACTTTTGAGACTAGACGTTTAAGTTGAAGTGACAAGTATCTGAAAAATCTTCATCATTTTTGAAAAGGACAGCATTTGTTATTTTCTTAAAAAGCAATCAAACCTATGTTTCTAATAACTTTTGATCTTTGAAGTCTAACATCTAAATTGTGGATCAGCAATCACTAGCGCTAGTGTTTTAATGTCCGGTTAGTTACTGCTCCTGTTTCGCAGTTTTTATTAGCATCTTTGTGGGAGTAATGTTATGTTCATTCGTTTTACTTCGTTACTTTACATAAGTATCAGTCACCAGAGTACTGTAGAAGCATGGCTAAAGAAAGATTCTGCCTTTGCATACGGGACTGTTCTATTTGTTAGCAGTTTAATGTCTGTCACACTCGTGTATACACATTCTCATGAGATCGTGTCATCTATCCGATTTGCTTATTATAGAAATATCCTAATAACTGTCTTCATTACAGGCACAGTATTGATGAGGGAATGTCATTACACTCCTCAAGTCTATGTAAATCCAAGTTATGTACTCAAATCTCATTATGATGGGAGATACAATCTGAAAGAAACTTATCAGCTACCTTGCCGCGCTTCTTTGCATAGTGTAAAATTCATTTAGAAGTGTGATAACACAATTTCGTGTTTTGCATCATAAAATCCTCTGTGCCTGTGTTCAGTTTATGCTTAAAGTAGCTTTTAGCTCTGTTTCGAGGGCGGTCTTTTTAAACGATCCCCGAAGAGAAAAGAGTTAAGCACCATTTGACAGCTGTATCGTCTCTTATACACTAGATTTTGCTCAAAGCGACAAATTTGTGATATTTAGTGTGTCATGTATGTATATCAATGGGAATGGAGGGAATAATATTACTTGTTTAATGTCGAATTCAAGGTATTTTATTCTTCCATGGTGAAGTTTTGCTTTTTTAGCAAAACCCTATCTTAGGATTCCATACTATAATTCTGTACACAGTCTTTTTAACATTTAGAAGCTAATAATTCGGGTAGTTTTATGGGAAATAGGAAGTAGACAAACATGGAAACGTTCTAAAAAAAAACCATGTAAAGAGAAACTGAAAGCGTTATGCCGATTCGATGTGCCACTTTGGAGGATAAGTCTAACTTTTCAAAAGTAGTGAGGCCTGATGATTGTACCGATATTCTGCAGGCCTGGCTTTCCCATTTCCAACAGCCTCATGAGTCACTGTTGTTCCCATCCCTTCAAAATGTGTTTTTACTATTAATGTTTATGCATGTAACATTATTGTTTTGTTGATGCATCAACAATTGAAATACCCTATTTCGTTAGAAAACTCCGCCATACTATTTACTTATTACATTTTAGTGCTATTTTGATGAATAGAAGATCTAGCTGTTTATTTTTGTTCGCCTTGGGAAAAATTGTGGGTGAACAAATGACCAAACTATATGTATATGAGAATAAGCGCAAAAACAAGTTTTGCATAAAAAATTGGCAATTACAAAACTGCAGCCACAATCACAAATGAAAGCGATAGGTGCAAACAACTGACAATTTTTTGATCATTGCAAGCTAGTGATTAAGAACGATCAAAGTATTTGCACTTCGCTGCATTAGATTTGCACTGAATTGATCGAAAGTTGTAATGTGCGTATTTTCAACTCTCGCTCGTTCATATTTGACTACTGGACAGAAGATATTACATCAATGACTTATTTCAAGTACATCCCGGTGACAACATTGTCAACATTGCCATTAAATGAGTTAATCCTGCTAATATACGTACCTTCTACCCACTAATAAGCAAATTTTTTGTCTTCTCCATGCAGTTTTGACAATTAAAAGGACTAGAATTAAGTCTAAAGAGCCGTTTACAACTAGTAATTAATTTAAAAATGGGTTCTTTAAAAAACTACATGGCGCATGCTAAAGATTTCTAGACCATAAAACGGTGTGTTCTGCTTAAGTTGCCATAAAAACAGGCAACTATACAAAATTTAGAATTTAAATGCCGTAATTTTTACTATTAGCGTAATAAGTTTGTTATTTGACTCTCCGTTTTGGTAAAGGGTCGCTTTATCTCAGCCAATGTAACTTCATCAAGTGGGCTGGCCTCCGGGCCATATCAGTAGTTCAAATCCATTTCGCGTTTCAAACATACGTATTTTGCTCGAGTGGTGTGTCTTCATTTATATTCAGGGAAGTCTGCAGGCGCTGCATTATTACCTACATTAATTATACTCTTTGAAATTGGAAAAAGACATAGACTTCCATGAGCTTACTCATTTATTTTGCAGATGACTAGTGTTTGTGCTTTCCCTCATTGTTACAAAAAATGGAGCAATTTTCGCAAGAAAATATTGTTAAAACCTCCATTTGCGATTATTTAGCTAAGGAAGCGTACCTTTATTAAAGGCGTTTGGACCACTCGTCCCAGCTTTTTAAATAACAGTCAGGGCACACACAATTCTATCAAACCTCAAATTATTTGTCCTACTTTGCCCCATATTTTTTTCTTAGGTGCATAATAATGACCTATAACTAAGTTTAATTGTGTGGGTTGCTTTAACCAGCGTTTTGGATGGTTCCAAAACCTCCCAGACTCGAATTTGGCTGAGTCAATTCGCTATATTAAATCTGTTCGAAATCATGTTCATATAATGGACAAATCCACTTAACTAATAGTGAAATTTTATCAGAACGAACTGCTGTTATAGAAAAACTATCATAATTACATGTCTTCGTGAAATTCGACACAAGTTGAGTTCATTTCAGACATGCGTGGCATCCGTTTTGCACTATTTCCGCATGGAGAAAGCGGAAGAAAACACTCACACGCATGCACACTTGAATGTTACACAGGGGATTGCTTAGCGAAGTTGATTTATGCACCTGCCAGTATGTGTGCATGCACGCGGACACAGGCATATTTATGGGACTCCGCCAAAGTTCAGTCCCAAACTCTTCTCACACTCACATTCATGCACACATTGACCCTCCATGTGTGCATGGATGTGTGCCCACCTGCCAGTAAAACGCTCCAATAGGGCTGTAGACGCGGCCAAGATTTATGCTCTCTGAAACATGGGAAAAATAATCAATGTGATCATGGAAGGCTGCATGTGATATATTCTCCTCTATTTTTGCCATCAAAAAACTTTCCATTTATGCACTATAGAACCGACTGCCTTATTCACATCCAGGTGATATTTGATACAATTTACTATTTTGGTGTTTCACCATTGTTTACTCATACCCATTATATGAGAGATGTGAATAACCACTAATTAGGAAAAGAATCTTTCAGCCCAAATAAGCTAAATAAATAACATTTTATATAAATGCGCTTTATGTTTTCGAAATCTTTTGTCATTACGCCTAAAAATACTGCGAATGTAACGTATGAGATTAAATTGATTGGACACTCTTGGTACTAAATTCATATTTTAGGCTTGTAAAACATTTTTCTGTCTGTGTGAACCACCATCAAATGAAGCTCTATACTAGATTAAAAGTTTGAATCTAGTGGAATCCACCTTTGAGTTGGGTTTCTTCCGCGTACTCGCATAAACTATGACTTGTTTCGGTATTAAACCGCGGCTAAAAGAAATTATTCTAGATAAACAAGACACAGAGAAATATTTTTGAACCCGATTTCAGTTGAATTTGGAAGCTTCGGTGAACCACATCTTAACAAAATCACAAGCAAACATAAAAATCCAATCAATTAGAAAAACAGTTCATAATAGTAGAAATATGATATTTCATGAGACACGGCCGTCGTTCACTAATTTATTCGTCGAACAATACTGCTTACCTTATTGTCTAGTCATCTTGCATCCAAAAACAGTTAGAAAACCTGAATCCCATTATTCTCTGTCTTTTTCATTTTAGGTCTGTCAATTTCTATGAGAATTGTCTACGGTTTACTCAATTGTAGGAATTATAAGCAGAAATATTAGCAAGGCACTATTTACCAATCCAGAATTCGAGGACCATTAGCTGAAAATAGCTAACAACTTTTGATCCATTAGGTTATGCCATCTGGGTGAAATTCCTTTTACACCTAAATTTACCATCTCATGTGAATAAGACAATGGTAGACGCATGAAAGACTGATTTATTGCATATTTGGGAAATGCCATGTTAAAATACTCATCTACCTTGACCTTGACAGATTAGTATGTCCCTGCTGTCACTTTAATGTCTTTAAAAAGGAACGTCTGTCGGCGTGTTAGTCATCAGGTAGTCTTTGGCGTAGGCAGACTATGGAACAGAAAGAGACTACCTGATCGGGTAAATGTACTAGAAGATGCATTAAAAAAACCAGCAGTACATCCACTGACTTCTAAAATGTTCAACACTGTGAAACGGCATAAATGAACATTAATCAATAAAAATTGAAAAAGCATGTAGAACAGTAGCGGTGCTGCAAGTGATCTGTCACCTGTGCCTTCAAAACCAGCACCATGAGATGGCAACTGCATTACATGAATGAGAGGTGAATCACACTTAATAATGGTTTAGCAAATCTCTCAAAATAACTGACAAATTAAGCATTAAATATGCGGCCAATAACTTGCTTTGGTAACGGCTGTACACATAAGATAATAACGGGGGATTTTCCGTGCACATGAAGCAGTCAAGACACTGTGTTCATGATGGGTTTGAATAGAGATCCTACTTAATGTCAGACTTCACAGCAAACATTGGCATGTTTAATCCATTTCTATGCCACAATTTAACAAAAAGAGAAAGTGTGTTCCATTTAACAGTTTAGAAAAATATTATCGACATGAAGTTTTGT